TCTCCCGGTTCTACGTCATCCAGGTGGGTTTGAACAGAGAAAACTGGTGAAAATGGTGTAAAAATGGGTGAAAATGGTGTAAAACCGTCTATAAAACGGCAGCGCAGCGCCAAGGCCAGGAGGCAGGAGGGCATCTCCCGGTTCTACGTCATCCAGGTGGGTGAAAATGGGTGAAAATGGGAGAAAATGGTGTAAAACCGTCTATAAAACGGCAGCGCAGCGCCAAGGCCAGGAGGCAGGAGGGCATCTCCCGGTTCTACGTCATCCAGGTGGGTGAAAATGGGTGAAAATGGGAGAAAATGGTGTAAAACCGTCTATAAAACGGCAGCGCAGCGCCAAGGCCAGGAGGCAGGAGGGCATCTCCCGGTTCTACGTCATCCAGGTGGGTGAAAATGGGTGAAAATGGGAGAAAATGGTGTAAAACCGTCTATAAAACGGCAGCGCAGCGCCAAGGCCAGGAGGCAGGAGGGCATCTCCCGGTTCTACGTCATCCAGGTGGGTGAAAATGGGTGAAAATTGTGTGAAAATGGGTAAAAATTGTGTGAAAATGGTGTGAAAATGGGTAAAAGTGGTGTAGACCTGTCTATAAAACCGCAGTGCAGCGCCAAGGCCAGGAGGCAGGAGGGCATCTCCCGGTTCTACGTCATCCAGGTGGGTGAAAATGGGTGAAAATTGTGTGAAAATGGGTAAAAATTGTGTGAAAATGGTGTGAAAATGGGTAAAAGTGGTGTAGACCTGTCTATAAAACCGCAGTGCAGCGCCAAGGCCAGGAGGCAGGAGGGCATCTCCCGGTTCTACGTCATCCAGGTGGGTGAAAATGGGTGAAAATGGGTGAAAGCTAGAGGTGAAAATAGAAATTATAAGAAATAGAGGTGTGAAAATGTATTAAAGCAAAGATATAAAACTGTATAAAAAATAGAGGTAAAAATATAAATAGGTAGGTTCCATTTTGTGACCTTTTTGGGTCCATTTTGTGTCCATTTTGTGACAATTTTCAATCTACTTTTGTGCCCGTTTTGTGACCTTTCTGTGACCATTTTGGGTCCATTTTGTGACCATTTTGTGACCTTTCTGTGACCATTTTGGGTCCATTTTGTGACCATTTTATGTCCGTTTTTGTGTCCATTTTGTGACCTTTCTTTGTCCATTTTGTGACCTTTCTGTGACCATTTTGGGTCCGTTTTGGTGACCTTTTTGTGACCATTTTGTGATCTTTCTGCGACCATTCTGCGACCTTTCTGTGTCCATTCTTTGACCTCTCGTGCCCAGGTGGTGTTCAGGAACGCGCTGGAGATTTCCAGCCCAGCTCCCAGCCCACCTCACCTGTCCCCCTCGTGCCCAGGTGGTGTTCAGGAACATTCTGGAAGGTTCTGTGGCACTCCCAGCCCCTCACCTGTCCCCCTCGTGCCCAGGAACGTTCTGGAAGGTTCCGGGTCACTCCCAGCCCCTCACCTGTCCCCCTCGTGCCCAGGTGGTGTTCAGAAGGGTTCCAGCCCAGCTCACCTGTCTCTGTTGTAGCCCAGGTGTTCAGGAACGTTCTGGAAGGTTCCGGGTCACTCCCAGCCCCTCACCTCTCCCTCTACGGTGACAACGGCAGCCACGGTGCCAGCGCTGGGAAGGACGCAGAGCAGCGAGTCTGCCTATGTGGGATTGGGATTGGGATTTGGGATGGGATTGGGATCAGGATTGGATCCCAGAGCCCGGGCTACGCGCGCCGCAAGGAGACGGCAACGGCCACGACCGCGGTGCCGGCACTGGGCAGGACGCAGAGCAGCGAGTTGGTTTATGTCTGATGGGATTGGGGTTAAAATGGGATTGGGATTGGGGTCAGGATTGGGATTGGGATGGGATCCCAGAGCCTGGGCGACACGTGCTGCAAGGACACGGTGACAACTGCGGCGACGGCAACGGTGCCGGTGCTGGGAAGGACGCAGAGCAGCGAGTCGGCTTATGTGTGATGGGATTGGGGTCAGGATTGGGATGGGATTGGGATTTTGGGGTCAGGATGGGATCCCAGAGCCTGGGCGACGCGCGCCGCAAGGACACGGTGACAACGGCAGCCACGGTGCCAGCGCTGGGAAGGACGCAGAGCAGCGAGTCTGCCTATGTGGGATTGGGATTGGGATTTGGGATGGGATTGGGATCAGGATTGGATCCCAGAGCCCGGGCTACGCGCGCCGCAAGGAGACGGCAACGGCCACGACCGCGGTGCCGGCACTGGGCAGGACGCAGAGCAGCGAGTTGGTTTATGTCTGATGGGATTGGGGTTAAAATGGGATTGGGATTGGGGTCAGGATTGGGATTGGGATGGGGTTGGGGTCAGAAAAAGGGATGGGCAGGTTTGGGATTGGGATGGAATGGGATCGGAGCCCGCGCTGGGCAGCGAGTCGGCCTAGGTGGGATGGGATTGGGATTGGGATGGGATTGGGGTGAACAGGATTAGGATGGACAGGACTGGGATTGGGATGGACAGGATTGGGATTGGGGCCAGGAAATGGGATTAGATTGGGATTGGGATGGACAGGACTGGGATTGGGGTCAGGAAATGGGATTAGATATGGATAGACAGGATTGGGATGGGACTGGGATGGACAGGATTGGGACTGGGGTCAGGAAACAGAATAGGATGGGATTGGGGTCAGGAAACAGAATGGAATTGGACTGGGATTGGACTGGGATGGACAAAACCAGGATTGGGGTGAGGGGAGGGACTGGGCCCGGGTTCAGCCCCGGACTGGAGCCACAACTGGGAGGGTTTTGGTCCCAAACTGGTGTGGACTGGAACCAGAATTGTTGGGATTTCACCCCGAACTGTCGGGGTTCGGAGCCCCCAAAATCCAGATTTTGGTCCCAAAACGGGGACCGGAGCCAAAGGTTGGGATTTCATCCTGGAACCGCTGGGATTCGGAGCCCCGAAGTGTTGGGATTTCACCCCAAACTGTCGGGGTTTGGGGCCACAACTGCTGGGATTTCACCCTGGATCGCCGGAGTTCGGAGCCACCAAAACCGCCGGGAGTTGGACCCAAAATTGTCAGGATTTGGAACCAAAATCATCGGGAATTAGAGCGAAAATCATTGGGAATTGGACCCAAAATTGTCAGGATTTGGAACCAAAATCATCGGGAATTAGAGCGAAAATCATTGGGAATTGGACCCAAAATTGTCAGGATTTGGAACCAGAATCGCCGGGAATTTGAGCCAAAATCGCCAGGAATTGGAGCCAAAATCGCTGGGAATTTTAGCCAAAATCATCAAGATTTGGACTGAAAAGGAGCAGGGATCACCCCCAAAGTGTTGGGGTTTCAGCCCAATTTCAAGGGGTTCAGACCCCAAACTGTGGGGATTTCATCCCCAAATCTCTGGGGTTTGTCCCCAAAACTGTGGAGGTTGGGCCTCAAAACTGTGGAGATTTCATCCCCAAATCTCTGGGGTTTGTCCCCAAAACTGTGGAGGTTGGGCCTCAAAACTGTGGAGATTTCAGCCCCAAATCTCTGGGGTTTTGTCCCCAAAACCCCCAAGATTTCAGCCCCAGATTCCCGAGTTTCAGAGGCAGAACTGCTGCAGTTCTGCCCCAAAAATTTCTGGCTTTCGCTCCCAAAAACGCCCAAATTCCTCCCAAAAAATTCAAGATTTTGCACCCAAAAAGCTGCGATTTATCCCCAGACCCATCAGGAATTCAGCCCTAAACTCCTCAGACCCCCCAAAATCTCCCAATTTCAGGGTTTCACCCCAAAAGCTGCTGCTATTTTTTCCCCCCTCATTTTTTTCCCCTTAATTTATGCCATTAATTTATCCTAATTTATGTAATTTTATTCCCCTTAATCTCCATTTAATTTTGCCCCCCCCAGGTGCAAATGGAGCTGGGATAATTTGCATTTATTGGAAATATTTGTATTTATTTTAGTGACATTTGTATTTATTTAGGGAGGTTTTTATTTATTTGGGGCTGTTGATATTTATTTTAGGGAGTTTTTTATTTATTTTGGGGCATTTCTATTTATTTTAGTGAGATCTGTATTTATTTTAGGGAAATCTGTATTTATTTTTTGGGAGGTTGTATTTATTTCAGGGAGGTTTGTATTAATTTTGGGGGGATTTCTATTAATTTTGGGGGGGTTTATATTAATTTTAGGAATATTTGCATTCATTCTTAGAGCTTTATAATTTTATTTAGAGCTTTTTATTTCTTTTGGGGGGTGTTTATTAAAATTTGTATTTATTTGAGGAGGAATATTGATTTTTGGGGGGGGGATAGAGGTGCTGGGGGGGCAGAGCCCCCCAAAATGGGCTCAGATCCCTCAAAATTGGGTCAGATCCCTCAAAATTGGGTCAGAATGTCCTAAAATGGGTTTAGAGCCCCCAAAATGGGTTTAGAGCCCCCCAAAATTGGGTCAGAACCTCCTAAAATAGGTTTAGAGCCCCCCAAAATGGGCTCAGACCCCCCCAAAATGGGATCAGAGCCCCCAAAATTACCCCAGGCCCCCCAAATTGAGCACAACCCCCCCCAAATGGCCCCAGACACCCCAAAATGGGATCAGACCCCCCAAATATGGGCTCAGAGACCCCAAAAATGAGCTCAGACCACCCCAAAATGAGCTCAGATCCCCCCAAAATGGGTTTAGAGCCCCCCAAAATGGAATCAGATCCCCCAAAATGGAATCAGATCCCCCAAAATGGGCTCAGACCCCCCTAAATGGGCTCAAAACCCCCAAAATGGGCTCAGAGTCCCCCAAAAATGGGATCAGAGCCCCCTGAATGGGCTCAAAACCCCCAAAAATGGGATCAGAGCCCCCCAAGATCGACTCAGAACCCCCCAAATGGCCCCAGACCCCCCTAAATGGGCACAGAGCCCCCAAAATTATCTCAGATCCCCCCAAAATGGGTTCAGAAGCCCCAAAATGGTCTCAGACCCCCCCAAATATGGGCTCAGAAACCCCAAAAATGGGTTCAGATCACCCCAAAATGGGTTTAGAGCCCCCAAAATGGGTTCAGACCCCCAAAAATGGGTTCTGACCCCCCAAAATGGGATCAGAACCCCCCAAAATGGGATCAGAACCTCCTAAAATTGGGTCAGAATCTCCTAAAATGAGTTTAGAGCCCCCCAAAATGGGCTCAGACTCCCCAAAATGGGCTCAGACCCCCCCAAAATTGGATCAGAACCCCCCAAAATGGGATCAGAACCTCCTAAAATTGGGTCAGAATCTCCTAAAATGAGTTTAGAGCCCCCCAAAATGGGCTCAGACTCCCCAAAATGGGCTCAGACCCCCCCAAAATTGGATCAGAACCCCCCAAAATGGGATCAGAACCTCAAAAATGGGTTTAGAGCCCCCCAAAATTGGGTCAGAACCCCCAAAATGGATCAGATCACCCCCTAAAATGAACTGAGACCCCCCCAAAATGGGATCAGAGCCCCCCAAATGGCCCCAGACGCCCCAAAATGGGATCAGAGCCCCCAAAAT